CGGCCCGGGCCACGGGGGGGGGGCACCCGCGGGCGTCACCTGTGCCGGCAGTCGGGGAAGGCCCTGTAGACACTGCACCGGGAGGGGCTGAGATGGGAAGCCCCTCAGGTGGCCCCTCTGCGGGCTGCGCTGCTGGCTTTACTGGGGGTGCCTGCCCTCCTCCTGAGCCAGTGGGCCTAGTACCCGTCCTAGGAGGCCGGTGACCTGTGCGGCTTTCACCCACTCCTTTCCCACTCCCTCCCTGAAGGCTTCAGACAGGCATGCAGGAGCCTGCAGAGAAGGGTGGGGCGCAGGCCCTCCCCTGCAGCAGCGGCCTCCCTGGCGGCTGGCAGCTGCCCCTCCCCGCAGCTCCCCTGGGCCACCGGGCTCCCTGATCCACTGGCAGCTTATAGAGAACCGGGATCTGCAGCAGCACCCCATTCTGCTCTGAGTCCGTGCTGCCGGGACTTGCCTAGGCTGGCCTTCTGAGGGCCGGCCGTGTTTAGCCCTCTCCTGATACGGAGAGTGACGGCACAAACCCCCCACCGACTGCATGCGTGCTCGAGCACGAATACACGCCTACACACGGGCTCGTGTGCTGGTGCGGCCAGTGTTCCCTCAGATAGAGCAGGAGGCCCACAGTGTGTGGGGGACCTGGGTCCCGGCTCCAGGGCTGGGCACGGTGGGCCGGGGCGTGTTGGGGGGCTGCAGCCCACAGTGGCCTGAGCGGGCTGGTCTGTCACGGCCAGGCTCACCCGGGTCTCGGAGGGGATCCGGATCCAGGTCACGTTCATGTAGCTGTGCAGGAGGTTCAGCTTGGCTTCCAGCGACAAGATGAGGCTGGGGGGAGGGCAGAGTGAGCACGCCCGCCTGTGGCCGGTGCCTTCTCTGTGACAGCCCGCCCCAGCCCCTGCTCCCCCGCCCCTTGCCGGCCCAGCCCTCCCCGCAGGTCTTACTGGGCCAGCCGGGCGTGGTCGTGGTCATCCTTGCCCCACTCCCAGTCCTTCCCGGGGTCGACCGCGAAGTGCAGGGGCAGCAGTTTGTGCTCTGAGTCCGTCAGGGGGATCACAGCTGCAAGAGACGGTGGCACGTGGCAGGGTCCGCGCGCAGCCTGGCGGCCTGGCAGCCCCAGGGGACGGCCCGGTGTCGCGGGGCCACCGGTCCCAACAGGAGCGCCAGGCACAGGTTCCAAGCACACCACTGGCAGCGGAAGCCTTCCCAGAGATGGGGATGCTGACAGGTCGCTGCAGGCACCGCAGGGACTCTGGGTCTGCCGGGTATGCAGCTGGTGCCCGGGGCAGCATGACGGGAAGGTTGACTGTGGCTTCCTGGTTTCTGGGATAGGCCCCGGCCAGCCAGGGCCCTGCACGAGGCCACTGTGAGGCAGCTGAGGCCTGGCCCTCCTGTCCCTCTCTGAGAAGGGCCATCTTGCCACTCAAGTGAGGACGCCACACTCTGGCCTCTGTCACTTGTGATTCCAAGCACCCGGGTGCACCCAGGCGCACCCGGGCTGTGTGGGCATCTGACCCTGGCGACCCAGGAGCTCGTCTGCTGGGACAGGTCAGCAGGTCAGCAGACGCCTCGTGTCAGCAGTGAGGAGCCCGAGGGTAAAGGGGTTGTCTTGTGAGGAGGGTCCATGGGTGGGGGCAGAGGGGGAGTGCAGTGTGCCCTGGAGGAGGGGTGTCTGTGAGTTCATTTGGGACCTGCCAGCGTCTGGGCTCGGGGAGGAGCCTCCAGGACATGGCCTGCTCTCAGGGACATTTCAGGTACAGGGGCAGGAAGGAGGGGAGCATCCCCGCCCTGTCCTCCCGAGGAGGCCCCACCGGGTGCCTCAGGGTTCTCTTGGAGGGTCTGCCCAGCAGCCTTGGAGCACAGAGGCAATTCACACGTTCTAGGGTGAGGACTCTGGCCCAGCACTGCCCTTGTGGACGCAGTGACACAGAATCCTGGCCACCTCCCCCACCAGAGGGAAATGGCACTTTGTGACCAGACCAGCTTTGTGACAGGACCCACTTCTGTGGGGTGGGGACCAGGGCAGCTGGGCGGCTCTGGCTGCAGCTTGCTGTGTCTGCCTGGACGTGGCCATTCTCCCCTGGACAGAGCTGCAGGCTGGACACACCTGGGCGGCCACTGGCCCAGGGGCCTGGGAAG